TAAGTACAAGTAAAAAGTACAAGTACTGTATAGAGTATATCGAGGAATGATACTCTGGATTAGACTAATAGACCACCAACAATACGATAGTTACATACCGCAATTTTACCTTCAGGCCTCTTGGGATTTTCAATTTTTTATTAAATTTTAATTAAGCACTACTGGGGGATTATGATGGGTGTCTACGGCTACAAGGGATTTCAAAGTTGCAATTTATTACCAATGACACGCAAATACGTTTTTCTAATGAGAGATCACACACAGCAATTACAACATAGCCAGTACATATTATAGTTTTATTTACAAAACATGGACGTTTTTCCTAGTTCTGACAATATCAACGAATTATTAGTCATCAGAGTTTCACTGAGTGCACTATGTTTTATGGCTGATTTTGAAGGAAAGACTTATTCAGTTTCAATAAAAGTTGATTTTCAAAGTTCTGGTCTCCGATACGTGACCTCAATTAATGGGGTAAAAATACGACCTGCTGCACTGAACAAACGCTCACACGCTGCACTAGCAGGCTGAGCTGTGTTTGTTTTGATGAAAAGATCTTTTAAGAGAGGCCACGTGGTAATGGAAGATGTCTCGGTTGACTGACTAGACAAGTATTCCTCCAGCTGTGATTATGATGGGTGTCTACGGCGACAAGGGATTTCAAAGTTGCAATTTATTACCAATGACACGCAAATACGTTTTTCTAATGAGAGATCACACACAGCAATTACAACATAGCCAGTACATATTATAGTTTTATTTACAAAACATGGACGTTTTTCCTAGTTCCGACAATATCAACGAATTATTAGTCATCAGAGTTTCACTGAGTGCACTATGTTTTATGGCTGATTTTGAAGGAAAGACTTATTCAGTTTCAATAAAAGTTGATTTTCAAAGTTCTGGTCTCCGATACGTGACCTCAATTAATGGGGTAAAAATACGACCTGCTGCACTGAACAAACGCTCACACGCTGCACTAGCAGGCTGAGCTGTGTTTGTTTTGATGAAAAGATCTTTTAAGAGAGGCCACGTGGTAATGGAAGATGTCTCGGTTGACTGACTAGACAAGTATTCCTCCAGCTGTAGTAGTCCAGAACGACCAGAAGATGATTGCTTCTTTTGTGGAAAAAAGAAAGCATCGTCATCCCCTTCATCCGACGCACTACCAGCTGACTCTACTGATGTAGTGCGTTCCGTAGATTCTATTTCGGTTAATTTCCTCTTTATGTACACCATGCCTAAAATTAAAATAGACAAGGAAATTTACGTTCTCATTTCCGAGGAAGATTTGTATGCAATAAAAATATTAATTACCTTTCTCCAAAACAGTTGTGTCGTTTGTCCACGTTTTTCGGAATTTAGGATGGAGAATAGCAGCAGCGACCATTTCTGGTTCCTGCATTACTGCTGAAAAGCGACGAGTAATTCCGGTTTGCAATGCATCAATTAGAGGAGAGCAAGTATTCATTTCATCTCGTTTCTTTTTTAGCTTGTCTTGCAGCATGTACAGTACGGGAAGGAGGTAACCCATGTAAGCTTTGTCTTCAGCTTGCAGGATGTCCAATGCCTGGGCAAAAGGCTGCATGGACTTGTAATACTCTTGAAGAAAGCGAATTTCACCAGCTTTGAATCTGAAATGTTGAAAACAATTGTTCAAAAATTTATCTTTATTATTACTACACCTGAACTGTACTAACCTAAATGTACATGACTGCTTATCCAAAATTCAAAAGCAGCAATCAAACTATTACCTTGGTAGTTTCAACTCATTACACAGTGACTGAAAAGATTCTTCTCCTTTTTCCTTAATGATTCGAACCAGTCGTTCAACTGCCCGGTAAACCGAATTCCACCGCGTTTTATTTGGTTTGGTCAATGCTATGCCACACTTCGATTGGACAGCCTCAGCTGCAAGCACTGATCGTGACGATAAATTCCAAAGTGCCTGGCACTTTGCGAAGGCTGAACGAGAAAATTTCTTATACGTAGCATTTTCTTCAGCTTGGTCTGCATCACCTGTTGCTATGAGCTGCAATGTGTGGCAAGCGCATCGCTAATGACTGGGAAGGTCGTAATCTTCATGTTCGCTGTTTTCATCCAGATGCTTTGTGATATTGTGATACATAACATCATCTGATTCATCGGATACCTCGTCCTCGTCATCCTCATTGTTGACCTCCATTTCATTAGTGTTTGTGACATTGTCAGTCCCAAATAAAGAGAAAGCCTTTATAAAATTAGAACCATTGTCTGTGGTGGTCTTGCATATCTTGTTTCCGATACCATAGTCATTGTGGATGTTTTCAAGGGCACTTGCAAGGACATCAAATGTGTGCGATCCTTTAAGCCGCTGACAAGCTAACGCTGCAGAAATTCTCTTCATGTCATCTGCGTTGATCCAATGGGCAGTGACACCAATGTACGATTTCCCCCTGGCTGACCAACAATCTGTGGTTGTTGCGACAGTCATGACAGACTCGAAGGTTTCACAAAGGTGGTGCTTCATGTCTGTAGCACAAATTTTCAGACGATTTTTCACAGTTTCACGACACATTACCGTCTTTCCAGGGGAAAGGCTGGTCACCAGTTCTTTGAATGCAGACAAGCCAACAATACTGAAAGGCTGCAAGCCCTCAGTGGTGAAATTTAGTATAAGCCTGTCCACTTTTTTTTGCGACACTGTGTTGGTTTTACACTCATAAACACGTAACTGCTTTGCTGGTGGGTTACTTGATGTACATGGCTCTGACTCCTTAGCCCTTTTTTGCCTTTTTTTCAAACTGGTCAGTTCTGTGTAGCGCTTCAGATGATGTGGATGTTGCCTCTGCAATCCAAGTACATTAAAAGTAAAGCAATGATTAAATATTTACAATTTGGACACCTTGAAATAGCCTTTTTGGGAATTAATATTAAACCATTAAAACACAAGTTTCAAATAAGTTCTAAAATTTTATTTGTCACATCTAGGAGAACAGCTAGTTGTAACACTTCTATACCAATTACCGTAAACCTCCGATTATAAGCCTTCTCCCGAATATAAGCCCCCCGTCTATAAGCCCATCACATTACTAATGTTCAACTCCAAGAATAATCACCCCCCTAATATAAGCCCCGCCTCCAATATAAGCCTCGCCTCCAATATAAGCCCACTAAACAGATATATAATTAACAATAAATATACAGGTTTATAACCACTATATAAGTTTTTAACTAATATACAGGTCTATAATTAGTAATAAAAATACTTGGTCGTTCATGTATAAGCCCCACCCCCGAATATAAGCGCCTTCCTGTGTGTAAGCTCATCAAAAAAACACTTACAAACTGATATAAGCCCGGGGCTTATAATCGGAGTTTTAGGGTAGTTAAATTTTATAGCTGGGGGCCATTCTTGCAATATATCATTTATATTCCACCCCTCCACACACACCCTCCCCAACACACACAATGACACACAAACGTTACATACATACATTGACCTGAACACAAACCTAGTTTCCTTTTTAAAACTTAAAACTTCGTTGAAATTTAACGTAACCGCACATTGGGCTATTCCAATTTCTATCCGCACCCTCCGGTGAGGAACATATTTAGATATTTTACATGATTATTTGTATAGAAATGTATTTCTCAATTGCACTATACTACATCCGATGAATTCCCGGGTGGCAATTTCAAGTTTTTAGAACCCTACCATTACCAAACAGACAAAGGCATAAAACAGCTTACCTGTACATGTTTTCTTAGGTTTGAAGGCGACGAAATGAACGCAGATATCTCTCTAACAAGTGGCGAGCAAAGGCAACATATGAATTTGATGCTCTTGTTCTCTCTTCCCACTCTTCCATTGTAGCGAAACATTGACTTCAAATATGGCCAAGGATGTTCCTCCTCTTCTCCTTTTTTACCGATAGTACTAAAACCTTCTAGTCCTTGTCCTTCGTTCAAGACTTCGTCTGCAATATGCAAATCACTGTCGGCCATGGCTGCCCAAGCAATTCGGGTAGAGTTCAATGATTGGGCCAGTGAATTCGGCGCAATAATTTGGCGCGAAACGCGTGTATTGTCGCATGTGTTCAGCGGAATATATTAATTGTCTGTACTTCGTGTAAATAACTATAAATTTGATTGCGATTGGAGTCGAGTTTAAAAATCGAAATTCATTTTAGAAATCACCGAATCAGGTAAAAGATAGAACTAAAATTTGATAATACCATAAAAGTAACGGAATACTTCACCGCAAAATAAAAATAACGAAGTAAAACGTTACTTTTTGAATTTACTTCGTTCCAAGTAGAAGTACTCTGTCAAAAATTTACTTCGTTACTTGCTCACTTCTCAAAATTAGTACTCAAGTAAAGTAACGAAGTACATTTACTTCGTTACTTGTCACCACTGGGTGGGTTTTTATTTTTAATTGATATTTGAGGTTGGGTAATCAAATTTTCGACTTTTTAATGGTTGGGTCAGCAAAATATTTGCCACGAAAAACATTTCTCTTCGGTGCCACCCCCCGCCATAAATAATGACCGGTCCCTAATGTCGGGATAAAATAAATCTTTTGAGCACTCTTAGACGTGGAGTGTAGGGGAACTTTCATATACAGCTATTTCAATTAAGGTTGTCCACGAGCAAAGCGGAAAAGTCAAATACGAGCGCGTAAGGCTCCTGCGAGCCGCTTTGAAAATTCATTAATTTGTTAGCGATTCCCAGCAGCCTTTCGCGCTCGTCTTCGACTTTTCCGCTTTGCTCGTGGACAATCTTAATTGAAATAGCTGTAAACATTGAACATTTCATGTCTTTGCATGTCTTTTGAAAATTTATGCGGAGCTCGTTCGGTATCTATTAAACCAGTTTTTGGTCCAGAAATTACGTCAGTTCCAGGATAGTGGTGCGTGGATCCAAAATATCCATACAAGATGAAGTAGTTACCGAGGCACGTTTCAGGCCATAAGGGACGCAGGCTCGGAGTTCGAGATTAATATTTTTTTACCAACAATCAACATGTACAGTATATCCCGATTTTATATTATATACTGTGTTTACTTCAATGAAATTATTAATTAAATGGAAATTGCAAGAATATCAGAGATAACTTACAATGAATTTGTGGAGAACTATTTGTCAAAAAATTTGCCATGTTTGTTGGATGAAAGATTCACAAGAAATTGGAAGAGCAGACAGCAATGGATCTGTAGTGGAAAACCATGTTTTGAATTCTTGAGCAAATCATTTGGTATGCGTATTGGAGTCATCCATTTCATTGCAAAATTTTGTGAAAATCATACCTTATTTCCCCACTCCCCCGGCTTGTATATAAATATACAAATTTATAATGCAGTTAAATGCAATTTAACCCTTTAGGCTACTATTTGTTGCATATTTACATCCCCTGCCTGCATGACTTTTCAGGCAGCCACCTCAATGGCCATTATTAGCATTTTCAACCATTATAATACAAAGGAGAGCACTACAACTTTCACTAACCAATTTTACACATTCATGTGCAAAATACCATTTCTTCAATCCTGTCTTAGGCACTGTTTATATTGTCTCGGGTACTAGGGACACCTACCCCCCCCCCCCCTCGTCTCGGCTGGTAGGGTCACCCTGGCGGTAGGCCAACACCCTGTTTAAAGATGCTGTACAGTCCGATCTGTGCATGTGCACAAAGGAGCCCTCTTTTTATTTTCAAACATTTATTTTAGGTTTTTATTTTATTTTATGTTCTTGCAAAGCTTGATTGTTGTCTCTTGATAATATATTATACTCTAGAATCATGAAAATATAAATAGTTGTCGAATAAAATTCAATATTTTGGATACCGAAATGTAAACAAAGCATTTGTTTACATACGGACTGTACCGCATCTTTAACAAGCAGTGTTACCCTTGTAGGAGGGACAACTTTTTTTCATGTAAACAGTTTGTTTCGGCCTCCATGGATGACTTTTCATTCGAATACCTGCATGTTTCAGGAGTCACTATAATGTTGTACTTAGAGTCATTCTTGTGGGTGTCCAGTAAGGTAGTATTCTTTGTTTATAAGAGGGGATACAGTGTCAGGGCTATAATTGTTTCTCATATAAACGTACAGTAAAGTTGTCTTGGGGGTAGGGTGTCCGTAGTACCCGTGGCCATATAAACAGCACCTTAGGCACTATTCGAATTTGAAATAGCCTCACATTATATTGCTTTACATTTTAATGTATATTGTACAAGAAATCAATGAAAATTTTTTAAAAACAGAAAATTGTAGCAGCATGCACAAAGGCGACACTCTAGATATTCGCTACAGGCTCCTCCACAGGCATTTTGTTATTAATAATGGCATAATGGTAATGGCTGCCCGCCTACATCAACTTTGGGCCTTTGGGGACAGCTGATCTGCTCTGGATGAGAAACTAAGGGGCTGATTACATGGGCGAGTTGTCCCGGCTGTCTATTATTTTGACATTTCGATTACATGCAAATCAATTTATCCCGCTTTGCCGGGACTGCGGCTGTAGCTTGCCGAGTCAACTCGCTTAGCCGTGACAGAAATTGCCCACACATCCCATGTAATCGCTTTTTGCCGAGTTGGCTCGACAAAGCGGGCTGAAAACCACACTTATGCATGTTTTAATTTCGATTATACTGTATGTACAAATATAAGTTAAAAAAACTTCAAATAACATCAAAATGATATTAATGAACGTTTTCAAGGTTTAGATAGGAAGCGACACAATTTTGTTAGAATACAAACAGTATAAGCCTGTTGGGATCAGTGCTAAGTATAAATACCTCAACCAACAACATTCAATGGGTAAAGTAGTCCTCAAATACAACAAATACACCATTTTTAATCAATTTCTAACACCAAGTATTAAATTGTTAAGCATTACAAATCTTAATGAGCTACTTCAGCCCGGCTAGCCGGGTTAGCGTGGTGCATGCAATGTAATCGCAATTCAAAAGTCAACTTGCTTAGCCGGGACAACTCGGCAAAGCGGGACAACTCGGCCCATGTAATCAGCCCCTAATTTGCAACAAATAGTGGCCTTTAGCTGCAATGCACCCAAATGCACCCTATTTTACTATCTTACTCTGTCTATGGACAATTTTACTCATTGATCAATAGGGATGCACTGGAATTCAGTTGACCTGTTATTTGGTTAGTAATTCCTACCAGAACCCCTACTATTAGGACATACACCATGGAAGCATCTCAAAAGTGGGGGGCATCAGTGGCGTGCTGGGGGGGGGCAGTGGGCTATCAACCATATGCACCCCTATAAATAATGTAACACTTGATAAGCGAGGGCCGATCAGGCACACAGTTGCGAGGTTTGTCTAGGGTGGTTCGGGGGCATGCCCCCACAGAAAATTTTTGAAATTAAAGTCTCTGAAATGCCATTTCCTGGTCTTTGGGAGAAGATTTGACAGAAATCTGATGATCTGAAAACAGCATTATAACGTGTTGAAATTTTTAATTTGGTTAGAATTTAGTAGTAGTACTTAAAATTGGGAAATGCTAACAAATTCCAGCTATTAGTCTAATCCCAATTCTATTCTCTACTGATTAGTGATATGAATACATTTACAACTTACAGCTCTTTTATACAATAATACACAGACCTCATCCCACGCATATGCATTTTAAGGTTTCCTTGCTTGGCTGCCAAAAGCGCATGTTTCAGCATAATATCTTATTACTTACATTACTCATGAGTCATGATGTTTCTTGCACAAACAACTAAATTGCATACACAACTTCACATTTTATTTATCATAACTATCTAATTTACCCCGCTCTCGTGATTCGTGAGGCATAATAAATTGCATAATATAAGGGCATAATACCAGCATTGCACAATACCAGCACCCACATTGCATGTGATCACTGATCATGGTTCTATATGAACGATTTCGTGCTAGCCGTGAGGTAGCAAATTAGCAAATACGGTTAAACAAAATAGTTTGTAATTTAATACACTGTATATCACTTTGTCACCTATGCGCTTTGTCTGTTTATAAGCCTATATTAAACACATCTTTTCTTGATGCGGAAGTAACTATATTTTTTCAAATGCGTTTTTTCCCAACCACTTTCAAAATTCAGCGCGGATCGGCGCCCCCTTTTCATTTTTGCGCCCCCCAAAAATTGCCAGCTGGGGGGTCGCGGCCCCCCGGCCCTCCCTGCCAGCACACCACTGGGGGCATTGACCAAAAAGGGTACTCCAGGAGATCCACCCTGAAATGTGAATGTCAGGTTCCTAGCTGACCTTGCATGATCAAGGGGTCCAGGGGATGCTCCCCTGGGAAACTTTTGAACCTTGGAAATGCCATTTTCAGCATTCTGAGCATCAGATTTCTTCCTGAAATGAGTCCTCGACGAACCTGTATTTCAGACAAAAGTATCAAAAAACACAAAAAGCAAAAAGCAAATGGGGAGCAGTGTATGTTAAAGTCAAGATAAATTTAAACTTTCCGATCGTCTAGGGTTATGACCAATCTTATGCTTACTAACATTTAGCAATCTTTATTTAACATCTTTTGAAATTATACTGCAGTAGAGCACATTTTATAATCCAAAAAGGGCACTATCATTTAAGAAAAGGGCGCATCTTTCTGTCCCCATTCTGCAGCCTTTGTTTTAGAGTTGCAGTTTAAATTCAGCCAGAACTGCATGTTCAAAGAAGAATGGCTAGAACAGGAACACTGTCTTCATTACAAAAAGATTTACAGTCAGGCCTTACAATATCGTTCACAGGGCCATCTGACAAAATGTCCGATGACTGTGAGTTTGGGTCGGACACATGTACAGTATGATTGATGTCCGATGACCTTCAGTTCATTTTGGCTCCGAAATAAGTAATTTATCCGACAATGAAAACATAAACTTAAAGATGCCAAACTTTTTGTGGCAGGGCAACTTAAGTTGCCCAATCGGGCAAGCAAGATATTAAACGTTTACTTGCCCGTCATGATATTCACTTGCCCCAGGCAAGCGGGCAAGTGTTAAGTTACAGCTCTGCCAGTCATGAAAGCTATGATCGGACAAAAGGTAAAATTTGGTCGGACAATGTCCGATGACCGGCATTAATTTAATTTAATTTGCTGGCCTGATGGGTGGTACTTGTATGCATGTTTTTACCGTGTATCAAATCCCCAGATTCAACAGTTCTGTATTTACTACAGGTGAAGCAACAGTACCAGTTGCTGACTGCAACCAAGTACAGTTCCAGTCTCATCCAAAACATTCAATGTTATTCAAAGACTTCATAGAATATTGGAAAGAGAAGAATAATGGGACTTTAGAAGGTGCATATATTATTAATGATTTTGCTTTCTAAATGAGTTGCAGGATCTTTGCAATATGGTTATACAGTATGCTTTTACTATTTGACAGGCATTAAATGTTGGTACCTAAAAGACTGGCACTTTTGTAAGTAAGTCTGGTTTTATTATTTTCCGAAATGAAAATACTTTTGTTATTTATTCATTGTTATATATCCATCGACGTAATGCTTTCATTTTATTCACAGTGCAGACGTACTATTGAAGAGTACGTGTTATAGCGAGGATCTATCAGTATACGTGTGACACACGTTATACTGGGTGTCTAAAAAAAGATTATCCAAATTTAGTGCGCTCTTGTGCCCTCAATGTTAAGTGCACACATTTAATTTTTCCATATTAAAATTAATAAAAAAATAGTCTTTTAGCTTTCGAATGACAGCTTTCTTGTATCATTTCAAGCACAATTGACCAAATACAAGCCGATTAAAATTATTTAATGATTTAAGTTTATCCCATATGTTATACTAATGTTAGAACATTTGGAATTAAAATTCATGAATTTTAGATCCGAATGGAATTTTTTCGACAGCTTATCCTAAGAGTCTAAATTTTATTGCTGTGTAAGAATGTTATCAACAAACTCAATATCTAACCCATGCGAGCATGCTAGAGTTCAATTGCCGTTTTTTATACACTCTGTAGTGCTTAATTATATGTGCATGGTTTTGACCTGCGATTTTTAATCGGCTCGTACATTGGTCAATTGTGATTGGAGCTAAAATCCTAATTCTCAGTAATATTGGAAAATTAGTTACCTGTATGTGCACTTAATATTGATGGCGGATTACCTTTTTTATACACCCTGCGAAGCTCACACTGTAAATAATCGCCCACAGCGAAGCTCCACTGTAAATAATCTTTATTGTTATCTACCATATTTTTGACGTTGACAGGCAGTTTCCCGATTACAAGGCATATGAAACTCCAACTCTATTTCAATCTGACTGGTTGAATGAGTTTTGGGATCAATGGACAGATATGAATGATGATTATAGATTTGTCTATATGGGACCTCAGGGAACTTGGTATGTATGAGATGAATAAATAAATTAGGTTATATTTTTATCCATGTTTGTATTTGTGTCAGTCTGCCAACCTTGTTCCCAGGCTCTCACCTCTTGTGGCGGAAAGACCCTGGTAGGAGCTGTTCACGTGATCTACTAAAATCTAGCAGATATGATGATGATGATGTAATATTTCAAATCCGACTATGAGGACTGGACTTCACCTGAGTATCAGGCTCTATTTTACAAATAGTAGCCTGACACAAACCTTAATCCTTTTTCGCTTTCCACTCACAACAAAGTTTATAATTATGATATTTGCTGTGTTGGTGTAATGTACTCAGGTGAATAAGATGTTTGTGTGATGTTACTCTGAGTGTATATCCACACCGGGCAGGCTTGAAAAATATGCCTGGCCACGGTGGGAATCGAACCTACGACCTTTGGAATACTAGCCCAACGCTCTACCAACTGAGCTACGCGGTCAGGTCGGTTCGAGTATGCGATATTTCGGAACTGAGTCTAGTTCCTTCGATATCAGTGTGGATATACACTCAGAGTACACCAACACAGCAAATATCATGATTATTAGATTACACTGATATCGAAGGAACTAGACTCAGTTCCGAAATATGGCATACTCGAACCGACCTGACCGCATAGCTCAGTTGGCAGAGCGTTGGGCTAGTATTCCAAAGGTCGTAGGTTCGATTCCCACCGTGGCCAGGCATATTTTTCAACTGAGCCTGCCCGGTGTGGATATACACTCAGAGTAACATCACACTAAAATAACTGCAATCAGCGCTTGAAAAAGCTTGATATGACGTTTAAATATACAAACGTAAACGTGATATCGATAATACCGAAAAATCGAAAATTTCAATATCGAGTATAAATCGGTATTTATAAAAAATCGATAATTATCGGTATATCGATATACCGCAACAGCCTAGTATCCAATCAAAATGTCGCAGGAGAAATTTAAATTTCACACGACGACAACAACAATCTAATTATAGTTGTGATACTATAAAATATATCAACAACAATAGTATAATCTAATTAGCACCAACCAATCAAATGACAGATTAAAAAATCTTTTGTCTCATAGACCAATCAGATTTACAACCGAAATACGGTTGTACGGCTTGGACTTTTGTTAAGATTTGTATCAGGCCTATTTATTTATTTATTTATAGGCCTGATCGCAGGTTAGACTGGACTAGATTTCAAGACCGCGCAATTTGATCAAAATGCGAGGACTTGAAATCTTGTCCAGTCCTCATGGTCGGATTTGAAATGTCATCTCATACGAATAAATCACTACTCAAAGTGAGATGAATTAATTTTGATCCAGTCCAAGGACTGAATTAATTTTGACCCAGTCCTAGGACTGTAACAATATGCTTCACCAGGTATCCACTGTTATCATGTGAGCAAAATAAAGTAATATGGTTGGCTAATTTATCTTGAATTATTAATGATAATAAATATTTCATAAATTATACTTTTTATAAATTTATAACTTGCATTTGTTTTGCAAGTTATAAAGGAATTATAGTTAAAGGAATCCAAGATAGGTAAGAGCCTGGGAACGAAGTTGTCAGTCTGTGTATGTATTTGTTTGTCTAAGCAATATTAAGCATAGTTTTCTATAACATTCATTCAATAACTTGAAACTACGAATTAGAAGTTGAAGGAGCTCAACTATATCTTTACACTCACATATGGGTGAATAACGTCGAGATTTAGCCCTTTGGTTGGTCTCTTTGGACTTCTTACGGAACGCTGTTGCTTGAGCTTTCTTAGTCCTTTTCTCATCATCGGAATTCCTAGTCAATTCTTCTGCCTCATATTCTTTTACGACCAACCAGCCGGCTTCGCTCTTATCAGCGAGTTTGATTTTCTTCTGGCGTTGTGTTAACTCAGTCGGGCTTCCTCTGTAGAATGGTTTTAGTTTCGTCCAGCGCTTCTTGAATCTCTATATACGTTGAACAGAAATTGGTCTTTCGATTCCCTGTGAACTATAGACTTTGTCCTTCAGACTGCCTTTCAACTGCATGTGAACGGCCCAAAGCCTCAGCTGTTAAGTTCGTCTATAAACTCGCAACTTTTTTTGTCGAAGTAATGCTTGAACCTTTCGAAGACTTGCTCTGTATATTATAATGTCGCTAGAAGTATCTGTATGGTTTTCGCCCTCTTCTCACACAACTCAAGGTAAAGTAAACTTAGGTGTCGTCTGTGGCTTGTGTTACACGTGATGAATCTCCTAACTGTACACACCTGACTATTTTTACTATCATGCAAATGAACAACCTTCATTTATATCACTACACTGCTTGGGGAAAATATATTTCTTAGTGCCATCTTGGCGCGTCAATTCAAGCATGCTTTGTTCAAAACATGTCAGATTTAGACTGTCATATATCTGCTTAATTACAGTTTTGAATACGTTGGAAAGTTTGCTGGTCATTTGGTACCAGAAAAAGTAAACACGCAGATAGCGAGAGTACCGCGCACCTATGTGATTGTCTATGCTATATAGGCGTCGAAATTCGCCGGCCTGGTACTACTTTTTTGTTTTTTCTCCGCTAAGCACCACGCCGGTTGTTTCTCGAAATTGTAACCCTAAAGTAATCCCTTCTTACCACCAAAATGTCAAGGGAAATATTTGTTGCTTTTAAAATTAAATTTAAACGATGTCCTTCGTTAAATGTTTTGGGATAGTACGTACAAGTATAACGAAATGTGAGCTATTTTAGCGAAAATTATCATCTAAGCAAGCACTTTGTATCAGTTCATGAAATAATACAGATAGATGCATTTCCCACTCCAACAATAATTTTGTTTAAAGTAAGTATGTGTATATTGCCTGATGTTAGGCAGATACATAATATTTCAAATCCGACTATGAGGACTGGACTAGATTTCAAGTCCACGCAATTTGATACATACGAAGAAGTCAATACACTTAAACGGAGATGAATTAATTTTGATTCCAGTATAGTATCCTGTGGGCAAAATAAAACTAATATGTTTCACCTTTCAAAACTAATAGTTTTGGAAATGCCAATGGCAGTGTCAATTTAGTTTCATAAAGGTCCAACATTTTCCAAAACAACTTCCCACAATGGCTGGAAATGATATTTCAATATTTCGACACCACATAGCCGCTGGGATTATTTTAAGGTGCAGTGATAACCAATTTGTTCAGTGATAAATAGGATTTGTGGTGTGATAAATAGGATTTGTGCAGTCATAAAAGAGATTTTGTGTAGTACTTATTTTCTTTAATATTTAACTATAAGTAATATATATGCATAATTTATCATGTTTAAATTGTTTAAAAGCACGATAAGCACAAGGAAGCCAATACGTTTGCCGGTTTTCACAATAACGTTTTCAAATTTATATCGAATTTATATGGCCTAATATTCAATCTTTCAAGATGGGATGTATAAAAAATTGTGTATGGAAATGCAAGAAATCAACCCGCTCTGGAGGCTAAAAAGTACGAAAATGTTCTGCATAAGGACCCGCAGATCCCCCGGTCTTTTGGAATTCCCCATCACCTATAGTTGGGTCCCTTTTCTAAGGTTTCCATTTACAAATTCGTAAATTTTCCTGTTTTTGATAACTTATAATCTAGAGAGCTACACTCAGCGTACCTTCGCTATGTGAAATGCTTTTATTTTATGTTTTTTTGTGCGGTAATAAAATTTCTTTAAAATAATCCCTGCATAGCCGCTTACTTCTTTCAAAAACCCTCCTACCTTAATTTCTACTGAGGCTGTAATATTGGCGTACTTCCGGTACGCAAGAACGCGAATTATCGCACCCTGAATGGTAGTAAATAATTTGTTGGTCGGCAGATATCATTAATGGTAAAATGACAAGTAATGTGCAAATAATTGAAATATCTCCATGTGTGTAGCAGTTTGTTACAGAACTGTACAAAAAGGAAATTTTTATAACTGCACAGAAAAAAATTGGTAGGATGGTACAGTACCTATTATATAATGTAAATTGACCATTACTGTAGCTACCAAAATATAACAGATGCATCTTTAATTATCTAGGACCCCATTTCATGCCGATGTATTCAGGTAAGGTAAACTATGCGCACATACTCGAAAGGAGACTAGAGAAGAAACTATTTAGCATACATAATATATCACAATATAATATAATATAATATAGTATACAATTACTTTATGGTTTCCGTGTTTGGATGGCCTGATCCAAACACGCGGGAATTTTGCGAGAGTTAAGAGAAGAGCGCGAAACACGAGCCGAAGGCGAGTGATTTGCGCGCTTTTATTAACTCGAGCAACATTCCCAAGTGTTTCGATCAGGCCATCCCAAACAAGGAAACCATAAAGTAATTGTTTTATAAAATAACAACAAAGTTTAAAATTCCCGCAAAGGCACTTTAAATTTCCGTGTTTGGATGGCCTGATCCAAACACGGGTTTCGACCAATCAGAGCACGCGTTATATACATGTTATTTTATTATATATATTTACAATTTGTTGATGCAAGATAAGTTAACTTTTCTATTTTAACATGTGTCTAAAGAAGTAATACAGGAAGACGAATATTTGCCAAATTTCTATCTTAAAATCTATAGTTGAAGTTAATTAAACAATTATACTGTAGGTTTTGCTTTTTTCTTGAAAGTGTCATAGCTAGTAAGACCTTTAATATCCTTTAGTATTTTGTTTTAATATTTACATATCAACCATGGACTCCTATAGAACTCAATTATGATCAATAAGTATAACATTTTTTAGGTCATACAGTTGGTCAGCCAATATCTGTGGGCATAAGAAATGGATCCTCTACCCTCCAGGATCTGAGAAATATTTGAAGGATAATCATGGCAACCTTGTGTTTGATATCACGTCTTCTCAAATACAAGACACAAAGAAATTTCCACATTTTCATAAAGCACCACAACCAATAGTTGTCAACCAAAAAGAAGGAGAAATTATATTTGTTCCAAGGTGTAGTGTACATCATACATGCGTGGTCCTGCATTTGATGGATTGCACAGAAAGCCAAAACCAGTGCAATTACAAAATGGTTAAAATGCTACAACGCTTTTATAAGGCTGTTTTCCAGCTTTGAGCATATATGGTTATCCTGACTTACAAAGTGCTATTTGCAACTCAAATCCAAGTTGAAGCTTAAATTCCATTCCCAGCTCAAATTTGATTTCCAGCTCAAATCCACCTCAAAGTCAATTTCCAGCTCGAACGCATATCAAACGATATGGCAAGTTTAAATCCGGAATTTTACCCCAAATTTTAGAGGATGGACAATACATTTGAATGCAATAAGTTCTAATAAGTTCTTTTTAGTTTTGCATTGCGAATGGAATGATACTCTGCATGGCGGCAAGATGTAGCCTACAAGTGGGCTTCTACTTTGTATTTTATTTAAGTAAACTCTTATGTCCATATGAACTTTCAGTTTTCACATTTTAGTTGTTGGCATCACCAAGTGATTAACATGGTAAGAGGATTATTATATAATTTTAAAATGCTAAATATAGCTAATAGCATATGGTTTCAAGTGCAATTCGGACAAGAATATGCACTATTTCTTTTTTTGGCACTGTATTTCGATAAATTGCACTCTTCTTAGCCGTTGTGTATTATTTATATTCTGACTCAATCGTTGATTTTCGAGAAAAACAATTGTCACTACTAATGACTTTTCCTTTCAGGAAGACACAATATCAATCAATCATAATTGGATAAATGGTTCTGGAGTTCTTCAATCCTGGCAACATCTAAAGGGTGAATTACATTTGGTACGATAATAGTAAGAATGTCAAACCAGTTTAAATCAGAGATAGACTGAGATATGCAAGTATTTCCCTACTAATTTAAAGTTGAATTTGTTGTATAATGAACTTCAAGGTAAAACGTAGCATTGAGGATTGTAAAGAAATGGAAGGATGGGATAAACAATGTCAGGTATATCATCCTTTTGTTATTCATATCCTATACTTATATAGCTCACATAAATATCTGGATTTTTGAGCATCTCACGCGCTTGAACTATTGTTGAAGGATTTTGTAGATGGAAATTTCGAGTGTTAATTTTATACATTAATTTAGATCTAACCAAGGAACAGAACTACATGTATGTGCCCTCTGACAGGAATCGAACCTGCGATTCCAGTGGAGCGCTCTATAGACTTTATAGCTTAGTTGGTTAGAGCGCTAGCTGCACTGGAGTCAGGCACATAGCCAGCCTCAACCGAATGGCGGGGTAATCATTAGACCGTCCGGGGGCATGGTCCCCAGAAAAACTTTCTATTTTAAGGATCTATTAAACACTATTTCATGCATTTATGAGACACGTTTTATGACAATGTGAATGCCACAGATTTGGTATGTTTTATGTCATAGATGAAAACATTAAGAGGTTACGCCCCCTCCCCACGTTTTTCCTCAGTTTGAAAAATTACAAAATAAGTCCTGAAGATAGTGTGTGGGGGGGGGGCACCCCATTTCCCCCTGTGGATACGCGTCTGCCGAAATTGCAGGGCCGCAGGCTCTATCCCTGCCAGAGGGCCTATAGTTGGCCTATAATATGCATTTTTCACATTTTTCATTTTCCACATTTTCAAAAAATTTTCACATTTTTCATTTTTTTATAGGGCCTATAATATGCATTTTTCACATAGGTATATACTTTACTGCGTTGTATAAAAATATTACTGAAATTAACGAGGTGCTGTAGCATTCAGCACAATTATTAAACGTAGGAAGTTGTCGTTCAGTAGCATAATTTGACGAGACAGCTATGATTCGAAGAAGACCAGTGGCTATTCTTTGTTATAAAATTGATTGAAAACTAAAATTATACAAAAAACTATAAAATGAGAAAATCCTGATGTCTAAAGGTTGATTTAGACTGCACAACTTTTGCCTAAAACTGTCGCATGCAACCTACTTACAACTTGAGTTGTACTGTATAGATCAAGCACACAACTCACTTACGTTGTCGTAGGTGAGTTGTATGCTTGATTTACACAGTAGAACTCAAGTTGTAAGCAGGTTGCATGCGACAGTTTTAGGCAAAAGTAGCAAAAGTTGTGTAGTCTAAATCGACCTTAAAGGGTATTGGCAACAAAAAATTTTATTGCTTCATCTGAAAGAGCATGGGAAAATAAACCGATTGGCCGTTTAATGCTCTATTCTATCTCATCTAGTTCCGAAGTTATGCGCAAAAATGTGCAAAATATAAGTTGCTGATTCAGTACAACGTGTGACGTCATTGGTTGGGTAAGTATGTTTAATGAATACTAAACTGAAGCATATCTCAGTTATTATGGACCCAAATCAAATGAAATTTTGCATACTGATTGTACATGATGAGACGCATTGAAAAACACTTCCAATTTTGTTGCCAAGGTAACAATGTCGTTCCCAGGCCCCTTGCGCCAATTTTATAAAACAGCTTTATTCATGGTACTTATAAGAATAAAGTAATATCAGAAGTATGTGTACCATACCTATGCATGCCAAAAGTTTACTTGCATGATAATAATTCGAAAATGACATACACATAGATAAATGCAACTAGTTATTCAAAATCAGTGTAAGGGGCCTGGGAACGACTGTGTTGCCTTGACAACTAAATTAGAAGTATTTTCCCATGCGTCTCATCATGTACTATCTGTATGCAAAATTTCATTTGATTTGAGCCAATAATAACTGAGCTATGCTTCAGTTTACTATTCAATAAACATACTTACCCAACCAATGACGTCACACGTTGTGCTGAATCAGCAATTTATATTT